GGTTTTTCCCCCGTTCCTGGTGGCAGAGGCCCCGCTGGCCGCTCCGCTCCCCGAGCACGAGCCTTCGGAAAACCTTCTGGCCCTGCCTCGTGGGCGCTTCGCTTGCCATCTTTAGTGCCGGTTGGCCTTAGTGCCTTTTTTCACCCATTATTGCTGGAAATAAAACCATCCATTGCCAGTGGGTGGTGGGTGCTCCGGGAGTTAGGTCGCTTACCGACGTGGTTCTGAAAGAGGGACCTGCGGGAGAGCACGTGGTGGCCCGTGGGGACGTCGGGCTGGCGGTTGGGAGCTGTTGGTTTGGGCAGAGGGTTGGCAGGGCAGGTCCGTGTCCCCGGTGCTGGTTCAGAGGGTGAGCCAAGAGCTGGGCCGTGCTGAGCTCCTCGCTCTGCTGGGTGACCCTGCTAGAGGCCAGGCCAGCAAAACTCCTCGCTTTGGTCTGTGGTAGAGTGTTCCACGTGGAAATGCAGGAGCAAAAGGGATCTGCTGCGTTGTTGAACCCAACGTTGGCTACTCTGGACTCGTATGTCCTTCCTAGGCTCCTTGGGGGACATCTCCAAAACCTTCCTCGACCTCACCGACCCCGATGAGATCAACAGCTACTTTGCCTTCAACGTCACCTCGGCGCTTTGCCTCACCTCCGGCGCCCTGCGAGCCTTTGGGAAGCGGCCCGGCTCGAGCAGGACGGTGGTGAACATCTCCTCGCTCTGCGCCGTGAAGCCCTTCAAGAACTGGACGCTGTACTGCAGCGGGAAGGCGTCCCGGGACATGATGTTCCAGGTCCTGGCGCTCGAGGAACCTGATGTCCGCGTGCTCAACTACGCCCCGGGTGAGGAGGGGAGCTCGTTAATCGCTAGTAATTTCCTCCTGGCTTTGTGGATGGAAGAACCTTGCAGCTGAGCCGGGTGCAGAGGGAAAATGAGCCCCGGGTTTTGCTTTCTCCTTGTGTGATTTCTTTTCTTGTCGCTCCTTTCCCAGGTCCTCTGGACACGGACATGCAGCTCTTGGCCCGCACGAGGACCGGAGACCCCGAGATGCGTCAATATTTCCAAAGCCTTCAGGAGAGCGGGCAGCTGATTGACTGCTCCACGTCGGCCCAGAAGCTGCTGAATCTCCTGGAGGAGGACACCTTCCCCTCCGGAGCCCACGTGGATTTCTACGACATCTGAGTTACTCTCGCCTCCTCCTTTGCCTCCCTGCTTTGCTTTCTGCTTCAGTCCGCCGAGCTGCGTCTCGGCTGCCTCCAGAGTGTTTGGTGACCTTGCCTGAGTCCTGGGTGCTGTGCGGCTCTCAAGAGGAGACCTCTGGGTGCCTTATAAACACTCCTCGTGCCGCGTTGGGCGTGGGGGGAGGTTACTGCTTCGCTGAGCCCTCCTGAGGACCCGCCGGCAGGAGTGGGGATTTCTCAGCTGCTGGCGATGGAGGAGCAGAGGTGGCTTTTCCAAGGGAACGGGCACAGAATTCTTAAAGCTGTCCTGTGCAGGGGGGTGTGCGAGCCAAGGAGGTGCTGGAGCATGCGAGGCCAGGTCAGAAAGCCACCCCAGAAGGTCTCCAAGAAGCCAGCAGTAGGGTTAGAGCCAAGCATCCCTGTGCCCGTCCCGTTTGCCCGCAGGAGCTGCGTGCTCAGCACCTGAACAAGTCACCAAAAGGCAAAAGAGCCATTCCTGGGGCCGGCAGAGGTGGCTGTCACCCCAGAGCCCTGACTCTTCTTCCCCCATCTCACCAGTGGCTTGTCTGGGACTCTCCTGCAGCTCTGGGATCGTCTCTGTGCCAGTTCTGTGCGTTGAGATGTGGAGCAAAGCCTGTCCCGGTGCTTTTTGCACAAAGGCAGTGGGTCAGCAG